AAGTATGCATAAACAAAAAACACGGCAAAATGTGCGGACTGTATATATGGGCCTACCAACTCTATGGGGCCTACACGAAAGAGGTCGGTAAACTCAAAACTTGTAGTCCTTGGCTCCTTGGCCTGAGCCTATTAGATCTAACCACAGAATTCTACACTAAGTGTAGAATTCTGTGGATCTAACATTATCAATTAAACCTCTTGGGTTTTTAACTATTTCAATGCAAGCCGGCAGAACAACAGCAGTAAATAAAACGGGGGAAAAATCTGGCCGTTCAGTGCACAACTTCCGGGAACTACACCACCCCTGCCCGACAAGAACAAAAAAAGTGCAACGACTACGCCATTGAAAGAGGACCGCCATTTTGAGATCGCAGGTAGAGTAAAATAGTCAAGATTTTCTATAGTTTTTATCATCAAGATATAGACGGAGGGTGTAGAAACAAGACTTGTCAGTTGTTTATTTATGTAGACAAAGAAGAGTGTCAATCTATGTTGATCTTGAGATAGACTCTAGTCTAGAAAAGTCGTTGGAAACCTTGCGGCTGCGGGAGTCTTTTATAAACTAAACTGAAAATTCAGTCTCTGCTGGGCGGGCGTTGGGTGAGGCCTCAATTTACTTTTTAAAACTTACTTTTACCGTTGCCTTTTTTTAAACATGCTTGTGCCTGGCTCATTATTGTTGATGTTGTATGGCTGTTGTTAGGGGCGCTTACTAGCAAGGCCCACGCAGCGCCGATGAGTGTGACCGAAATCGGGGACTCCGGTGCCGTATAGGATAGGCTAGGACGCTAGGTATAGAGGGGTGCTTTTTCGGTAGTTCCCACCCCCCTTATTTGGGTGCTTTTTCGGTAGTTCCCACCCCCCCTTATTTGAGCCTGACCTAGATCTACATTCTCTTATCTTCTGTTCCATTTCAGATGTTTGTTTGCTTTCATTCACTAGATCTATCTGTTTTTGGTGCCTGTGCACAGAGCACACCTGGTATGTTATGTTATACAATTATACACAAAAATATTGCAAGAAAAGTTAATGGATATCCCATTTTAGTAACCTTTCATACAAAAAAAAAAAATAACAGGAGATTTGGAATCTGCCGGAAAAAATACAAAAGATAGATCTTGCCAAGTTTCGTAGATATAAAAAAAAAAAAAGAAAGTTGCAGGAGTTTGAATGTTGGCCGCAAGTCCTTGGCCTAAAATTTCTATGAATTTTTTTTACACATTTCCCCTGATATTTAAAAAACTACTGCAGATACATCAAATATCTTTATAGATATAGGTTCTGCAGGAAAAACTACAATAGGCTGCCAAGTTTCATTCATGTATTCCATTTATTACGGAATTTATGATAAAAAATGCCTCAAAACACCCAATAATGTGGACCGTGTTTTGGGATTTTTTTCCTTATATGAGAGTCACCCCAGAAA